CGCTATTACAGACATGAAAATTTAAAGAAATGAATCCACATTGTCGTGTTTTTCAAGAACTTGATAATATAGGAAAATATTTGAACTGTCAATAATATTATCTTTCCATTTTACATTAACATACATTGTTTTATGATACACTGATGCCAGTTGCGAGGTTAATAGTCTCCCCTTTATTACATCAATTTTATAATTTATAATCTGCGCCGATTAAGTAAATTTCAGCCTTTATTTGTCATAAAGCGATGAACATTATTACCTCGAGAAAATAATGTCATATGCTAGCAAATGAATATCCACTTAAAGAAATTACTTGCTGTAATATGCAATTGGCGTAATGTCTTAAAAAGGGAGTGCGCTGCTAAACTTAAGATATCATATAGTATTGTATACATATAGTATTGTATGCATGTAACTGACAGACACACATGCATGAATATAGAAAAATGAAGTTTTTCATGTTCATTTCTCTATTTATAGTGAAATTTTGTGATACTAAATCATAACTTTTTGTATTGTAACTGCATGTTGCTAATAAGCTTTTTTTCGATGCACATACCGCATTAATGAAAAAAATCAAAATCTACAAAACAGCAATTTTTCTTCAAAATTATATGTGAGGCCTTGTTTTAACATGGAAAAACGCGTTTTTGGGTAATTTCGTTTTTTTTCATCAGTTTCTATTAACCCATTACCAGATATATACGCCTTTCTACGCCTTTTTCAACCCCCCCCCCTCCTTTTGTGCTTTCTCAAATGGTGAAAAAATGCCTTATTTAGGCCCCAAAACACTTGTTTTTGTTTGATAAATGTTGTTTAAAAAATTGACCACTTTTTCGGCGCGGCCACCCACCCCCATCCAAAAGATACATCAGGGGGTTGCCAGAAGGGGGATGTGCCCCCTTCTGTTTGGGGGGTTTGAAGGGGGGCTGAGAAAATCGCCAAGAAAACTTTGGACTTGTGGGAGGCTAAAAATGGTCCCAGGTCGATCATAAGGTAACGTGTAACCAATGCTGAAAAGCCATTGACTCTTTCTCAATCCATTGAGAAGTGGCAGCACTTTGAAATCAATTTTGATGGAAAAAATCAACTCAAAATAGTGATTTTTGGCAATTTTGAGATGTCCCCTAGTTGCTATGGTAACAGGAAATTTCAGACTGAACATGTTGTTACAAAGGCAATGGTCCAGTCAACATTTGTGCCAAGTTTGATTAGTATTGAAGCAGTTTTTATAGTTTTATAGCAACTTGAACTTGTAACGTGAGACCTTTCAATGAAAACAGCCATTTTTCACAAGATGCTCATGGGGGGTAATGGGTTAATAACTTTTCTATCTTGATAAAATATTAGAAATGATAGTTTAACGTCTCAATTCTGACTAAAAGGGCGCAAAGAAAAGAGGAATTGATAAAAGATTGAACTTGATTTTCTGTCAGAATGTTAGCCACTTTCATGGTATTTCTGCCATCGACGGCAGCATTTATAATATGTATCTGCCTACAACGGCAGCATTTTTTCTTCGACCGGACAAGATTGAGCGTCTGTAAAACTTTTAAGAAAAGACTCACGGGGTAGATATTTGGCTTGCGTGACCCCAATGGATGAACGTCTATATTGATAACAGGAAATCCTGCCATTTACTTAAAACTTGAGATATTTTGAACAGAAAACAGACATTTTCACGGATTTTTCTAAGGCTTTCACTTTTAACCTGCTCAAAATAGTCTGAAACAGGAAAAAACGAGTCCAAAATTACCTTACAGTATCTCCATTCAATGGACAATAGTTTTATAGCAATGAAATGGGCCGCATTTGTGTCATATAATTAAACCAACCAAATTTATAACCTACCTGTATCGATCGGTAATTTTCAGATATCTGCCATCACTGCAGTGATCTGCCATCACTGCCGCCGGTAATACGGTGTGATATAGGAAGAAATTAATCCATTCGAAACAGTATGAAAACAAACAACTTTCGCTTCCTAAAATATAAGAAGCCATGCAAATGTACATTTCCGATGACATTTCCCGAACGTATTCATTGTTTACATTGAAGAAAACACACCGCAACTTAACTATATAGGAAACCTAAAACAATCACGCTACGACTCCCATGGGAAAAACATTGTCTTTCTATTACGATCTTATCGGACATAGAAATCTATAAGAATTCATTTTTTCAATGAGACCACAGTTTTACAAAAGGTCGACGTAAAGTCGATTATGCTAAGTACATTAGGAAGTATTTGAGTGTACGCAATATAACAAAGAAAACCTTTTTTTGTAATACATCTACATTTAAGGATTGAAACATGGTTTCTCTTCTTTTTTAAAATGATTATTGCTCTCTTTCTTTGTTTTGTCCTTTTCGTAGTTTTGTTGCTTAGTTATTTTTGCGTCATGTGCTGCTGTGTGTCACAATGAATGTTTGCGCAGGTGCTAGGGTCGTGGGTAGTAAATGTTTCAGTAGTTAGTTGTATATACTAGTGCCGTCCACGAGCCTGCGACATTTTCAATTTTGTCGTTTGTCTTTTAGCCGTAAACGGATGTAAGAATTATATTGAAATGATATAGGAGAGACATTATTATATAGATTTAGATTTAGGACAGATATCAAATTTAAAGTAAGAAGGCAAGCAATATATAGCCTTGTTAGGCTGTACGGTTATGCAGGCTGGACTTGCAGTATACTGGTGGCAAAGGCTAAATACCTTCGTTTCCAGCAGGGATCTGAATACGCCAGGCTGATCGTACAATAAAGTCAAAAAGCATCATGTACTTGCAGGTTGATAATAAGAATCCATATGAATTGTTTAATATCTTACCGCATCTGTATTACAGTGATAATGATGTTTGTATAGTTATAAAATTCATGCTACCTGGATGTGACAGATAAATTTAATAAAGCAAAAGGCGCATAAACACAAAAAGCACTACTCAAATACAAATGGGGTATTATGTAACACTATTTTCGATGCCGGTTAAATAATAGATGCAGTTTGTGTAATTAACCTTTTGAAATCATATGAAAATTTAAGTCACCCTGGATGAACAAGTTTTGTCATGTGACCACAAATGCAAACGCCGATTTAACATTTCAGTAAACAAGGACCCAATTTCAAGTAATTATTTGCAGATATCTTTTTTTCACTGCGAGCACAAAAATAAGACAAATAGACCGTAGAACCCGGTGTAAATTAAGCTTTTATTTTATGTGAGTAGTCATAACTAGACTTTAGTAGTTTTTTAGAACACTTCGATACAAATGTTCGCATAGCAAACGCCGATAGGTTTTACTTTTTTCAATCATTTTTTCACTGGAAATACATGTTTATGTAAAATAATAGAGGATATGTCTTTTTAAATGCCATTCCCGTCCCTAACTCATTTATAATTCCATTAGCAAAGTTATATTTGACATAATCACATGTTATTCCCCGTAATGTCTAATTTGCAAATGTCGTTTGAACATGTAAAATATGCAAACGCCGGTTGAACATATTAAATATTAATAATATCTGTCATATTTTGCGGTTCGGACCGGAATATCCGTCCCGAGGGGACCCGCCCATGGGCGGGTTCCCGAGGGACGGATATTTCGATCCGAAGCGCAAACATATGTCAGATATTTTTGCTTGCATATTCTGCCATATTATTTCACATTTAAAATGGTTTACCTCAATATGATATATGTTCATGGGAATTAAAGTCATTTCATCCATAACTATTTCTTCTTACAACTTTAATAACAACGGCGAAATGACGTCATCTTAAGCACATATTTCCCTTCTTAAACGCAGTTCATTCATAAAGTGCCCTAAAATGACGTTGTTGTTTGGCACGCGACTCATCTGGATTCTCCCATGCCAGATGAAATTTCCGGTGCTGGAAAACTCTGTCTTACAGTCCCATGTAAGACAAGTCGCGTGACGTCATTGACGCGCGCCTTTTATGAATGAATCGCGTTCTTAGGATGACGTCATTTTTCCCTTATGAATGAAGTCGTATTTTCATACGCTACTATAAGAAAAAAGTGCGTAATATATATATATCAGTTTTCATAATTACTGTTCCGAAAATATTTGACATGTAATATGCAAGAAAAAGAATCAAACACCGGCTGTTGGTACAGACGGGAATATCTAGCTCTCGGGTAACTGTTTAGCGGAAACTCGACGGATATTCCGGTCTGTACCGGCAGCCGGTGTAAGATTCTTATAAACCGGTGGTTATTTAAGTCAAGTTGCAAATATTACAATTCTCTGAACAAAGGTCTTCTCTCTTTTCTCCTTCTTTTTTATTTTAAAACATTCTTCTTCTTGAATAACAAACTTTTATAAAACTTCTGTATATCCCATATATACATGTATACATTAAACCGTATAATCTTCTCAAAGCTATACGCCGACGTTGAACTAAACAGTGAGATCACTTGGAGTTACTTGTTTGAAATAAAATTTAACGAAGGTGTTTTCTTTTGACCAATTTGCAGCGTTGAGAATTGGGACCAAAAGCTCTTGTAGAATGTGCTGTTTCATATTTATGTTTATTTGCATAAGCCTCTTGAATAATTTTAAGAATATATGAAGCCAAAGTTTGTGAAGAAGCTACATTTATTGTCAGAAATTAACTTGTTTCATCTTTACGTCTGCAGGATTCAGTTCTTTTAAGACAGATAGCATGTGCTCTTCTTGGATGGTCTTAAAAGCTGGTACAAATTTTTTTTGCTGACGAATGGCCAGGTTTATCCTGTTTATCCAAACCTTGTCTGATAAAAGTTTCCCCATCTGCCTTCACAGAAATAGCTCCTCCTTATGTTAACGCTTGAAGGTCGCTGGCTCTCCTGAATGTCGTGATAGCTGTAAGAAAAACAACTTTATATGATGTCTTTCTCAAAGGTTCAAAAGGAAATGTTTGTAGCGCACTGTCACAATAGGGACTACGATGGGATACCAGGCCGACTACAATTGCTATCTAAACAACCAACAACTCAGAACAGAAAAATATATACAAATTTATTTACAGAAATGAATATTTATAAATGAAAAATGATTATATATGATAAACTACTATGATAAGTCACTGCGCAAACAAACACTATCAACGTATCTCAGTCTATTTCTCTCGTAAAGTTTCTGCCATGATGTATCAATAAAGTGGTGGCGTTGTTGAACAAAATTCGTCACAATGGCGGGCGTCTTGTATAAAATCTTATCAAGCGTAACTGTACTTCCTACAGTGTTGGCACAGTTGATAGGATCCTGAACAAGGGCATGCGTCACCCTTTAGCCATGGACATACGTGTGGAGGGCCCGTGTCATCTTCGGGTGTGTCCTCAAATAAGAAGCTACATAGTATAAAACATGGTAAGTTCCATGATAATCAAACATAAGGGTATAATAAAGTCCCTTGGAAAAGACTCGACCTTTGTCGGTTTCCAATAAAATAACGTGCTTCTTTGAATAAACAAAATGTCCACTATAGTACACCATACATTCCGTGGAACAAAAATTCAATCACATCCGCATAATACTGCGTTGCAAATATATTCAAATATACGCCACATAATAACCACCAATAAATAAACGTCTTCCAAAATCATGCCACTGAAGATCCTTCTCTAGAGATACGTTAGTTTTGATACGTTGTATTTACTTATAACAAAACTGATGATAAATGAAATGAAGTAAGATTATAACGAAAATTAAATTGATTGAAACAAATCATTACGATACTGCAGCATTTTACATAAAGTTACACAAATACGGTAGAACCATAATAAATTATTTATGAATAGATATATATATCTATAAAATATTCATGGCTCCTATCCAATTACAATATAATTAAAACTTCAATTAACATACATCAATTAACATGTCTCGGTATAAATTTGCAATAGTGAAACACTAGAATAAAAAGAGTTTTTAAAATTTACTCTGCAAAAATTTAGAAAATTTAGAAAACAATAAATTACTGCCAAATAACTAAACCTGAATCAAATAAACTATAATTCTAATAGAAAATAGTATTTACGAAATAGCAAAAATTTATGAACAAAATCACTAGGAAATTAAATTTACCTTGTACAAGCTGTAATTTTATGACAAAAATAATTTGTCTGTCACCGTCATAGTGACCTGTATAACGTCCAGTGCATTGCAATATGTCACTTAAAATTTAGTCAATATATAGCAAACTACTGAGTACTGAGCGGGAAAACAAATCGTGCAAAACATGAAAAATCGATTTGCACGAAATAAAGCTGGGACGGCGGGAAAAATAGTTATGTAAAATAAAGGCCCGTCCTTCAAATACAGACATAATACAAATAACTGGTTCATAAAACAAAAATGTAACTTTCTTATTACTGAAAGGATTTTTGTGAAATAAACGGCAAAATGTTAAAATTGAGACATAGAAATTTATGCAAACCATAAAAATACTCTAAATAATAATTTCACCCGAAAACTCTAAATTAAACAAAAAGATGATGCAATCTCACATCAATGAATATAGAGTAAAAATGAGGTTCGGCGTGAAAATATAATGCAATATTTTACAAACGTACTTTCACTTTGTGACATTTACGCCCCCCTTTAAATAAGAAAATTGATAAATTTTCTTTAAATACAACAAAGTGAAAACGACAAATTGCAAAAATGTAAGTAGAAATACTGTACACCATATTCATAACCACCATAAATACTACACTATACTCTACATTATACCCTGCTTAAATAATCTGCACCTATGTTTTCTCTACCTGGGATTGCTCTAATCCTCATCCTGTATGGCTGCAAAAGCAAAGACCATCTCATTATTCTAGAGTTACTTAATTTTGCCTTGTTAAGATACAAAAGCGGCTGGTGATCTGTCTCTAGAATAAATTCCTTACCAAACAAGTATCTGTGAAATTTAGAAATTGCCCAAACAATACCAAGGCACTCCTTCTCTATTACAGAATACTTCTGTTCTCTTGGTAACATCTTTCTACTGGCATAAGCTACTGGAAATTTCTCCTCACCTTGTTCTTGAAGTAATACAGATCCTAATCCACAATCAGAAGCATCAACTCTGAGAATAAATATCTTGTCTAAATCTGGTAATTTCAAAATGGGCGGACCGGTCAAACTAGCCTTAAGAGTCTGAAAAGCCTTTTCCTGACTTTCACCCCATTCAATACGATTTGGTTGAAACTTTTTTGTCAAATCGGTCAACGGAACAGCAATGGCGGCAAAGTTAGGGATGAACTTCCGGTACCAAGACACAACCCCTAAAAATTGCCGGACTCCTCGCTTAGTTGTGGGTCTCTCGGTCTCCTGAATTGCCTTGACCTTACTGAGAACAGGTTCAATGGACTTACTACCTCCTATCATATGACCTAAACATTCCAATTTTTCAAAACATATGAAACACTTGGACGGTCTAGCAGTAAGCCTAGACTCTCTTAATTGGGTAAATAACTCATACAATGCATTGATATGCTCTGGCAATGTGACTGTATAGACCAAAATATCATCTATAAAACTATCTGAGTGATCTAGATCTTTCAAAACCTTTCTCATCAGTCTACAGAATGTTGCAGGGGCATTGACTAAACCAAAGGGCATTTTCCGGAATTGAAAAAGTCCCGACGGGGTTTCAAATGCGGTCAAAGGTTTTGCATTGTCAGACAAAGGAACTTGCCAGTATCCTTTACTAAGGTCAATTTTCGAAAAATACCTGTATTTTGATAATTTCGAAAATATCTGTTCCATATTGGGCATCGGTTCCGCATCAAATACCGTGCATTTATTGATCTGTCTAAAATCAATACAGAACCTAATCGTGTTATCCTTTTTCCTGATAAGGACAATTGGACTAGAAAACGGAGCATTAGAAGGTTCGATAACTCCCAACTCTAGCATTTTATCAACTTCTTCCTTTACTATCTGCTGTGAGTGAAAAGGAATAGGATAACCCTTAGTCCTTACCGGTTCTGACGTAGTCAACTTAATGTCATGCTGAACCAATGGCGTAATTCCGGGTATATCTGTTAAAACATCTGAAAATTTCTTTAACAAGGTTGCAATCTGAGTCTTACAATCGGTTTGTAAGTCAGGATTGACCTGAACATCTTTATATGTCTCTGAACCTTTCTTCAATGGACATAACAATATGTCACTATCATCTTGGTAACTTGTTTCTAAACTATCATCTTCCTCTAATCTATCATACCCATTTTCCGCTTCTACAACAGCTGCACTTACCTTTGCCAATGCACCTCGTTCTGGTTCGAAATTTCTTTCAACATACTCCTTCAGCATATTGGCATGGAAAGTTTTGATCTTATTGTTACCTATGTCTATCCGATAATCTAATTTGTTCACGACCTCGGAAACTACAAATGGACCTTTCCATTGTAACAACAACTTATTGCGTTTTGTAGGTATAAGAACCAGTACTTTACTTCCCTTCTTAAAAGTTCTATCTCTAGCTTTTCCTGTTTTAATACTTTTCTATACCTAATACTGCTCTTCTCTAACTCCTGCTGTGCTATCTTACATGTACTTTCTAGTCTTTCTTGCAAATCAACTACATACTGATAAGTTGTCTTAACTTCGTCATTCTCTGTTTTTCCTGACCATAACTCTCTCAAAATGGTAATTGGACCTCTAATGCTACGTCCATATAACAATTCAAATGGCGAGAATCCTAAACTCTCTTGTGGAACTTCCCGATACGCAAACAACATAGCATTCAAATTCTTATCCCAATCTGTAGGTCTTTCACTACACATCCGTTTCAACATCTGTTTTAAACTACCATTAAATTTCTCCACTAAACCATTACACATCGGATGATACGGTGTAGTTGTTAACTGTCTAAGAGATAGCAACCTACTAACCTCATTCATAATCTGTGAAGTAAATTGTGATCCACAATCTGTAAGCATTTCCTCTGGAACACCTAATCTACTATACATGTCAACTAATGCTTCGGCTACTCTTTCAGTCTCTATACTAGGCAATGCAATTGCTTCAGGATATCTGGTAGCATAGTCTACCATGGTCAAAATATATCGGTTCTTCCTATCAGTCATAGGTTCGATCGGACCAACAATGTCAACGGCAACTCTCTTAAAAGGAGTATCAATCAAAGGCATCTTACCTAAAGTTACCTTACTTATTCTACCTTTAGAAATAGAACGTTGACAAATATCACAAGACTGACAATATCGTCTAACCTCTACAAGAACACCTGGCCAATAAAACTCCCCTAAGACTCTATCACTTGTCTTCCTAATACCAAGATGTCCTGCCAAAAGCGAGTCATGCGCTACTTTTAACACAGTCTCCCTAAGATCCTTAGGAACTACTAACTGCCTACTTACGTCACCATTTCCTGCCGTAAACTCTCTAAACAACATCTTATTCCTGACCTGAAACTTCACTTGCCCTTTACCTCTACAGTTTCTAACAGTACCTTCCTCTGCTTTCTTTCTACATCCATCTAATGTACTATCTGCCTGCTGCTTCTCTACAAACTCTACATTAGTGATGTCTAAAATCTGTGAAGGAACTTTAAGTCTTCTATGAGCTTTAACTTTACTCTGCGATCTTGTTTCTACTGCTGAAGCTAACTTACCAAAATTTGGTTCTACAGCACCCTCTATGTTACCGATAATTACATCATTTGTAGGATTATCTACACATAGTGCTTCTACAGTACCCCTGTAATACGGACAATCAAGATCAATTAACGCCATTTCTAATCTGTGCTCACTACCATCAATGTACTTACATCGTCTGGACTTCCCTAACAATTGATTTGCATTTACCAAATTCCTTCGTACTATGACACATGTACACCCAGTATCTCTCATTGCAACTATAGCTTTACCATTACATATACCTCTAGTTGTCGGACATGAATTTATAGTAACTGTACCCACGTCTTCAAAGTCCCCAAGTTCTATCAAACTACTACCACTATCTGATCTCGGCATCGAAATTTTCGAATCTGCATCCCTATTTCTTCCTCTACCTCTACTCCTACCTCTATAACCTCCTCGCCCTCTATTACCCTGATAACTATTATCATTCTTACTTGGATTCATTGAGTTCGGTTCTATGTCTTCCGCTGCGTTAGCTTTATTTGTAGCCTTATTTCTACAGAAAAATGCTGTATGCCCTAAACGACCACAATATGTGCATTTATAACCTTCATACTGCTGAGATGCTCTACCTCTATTTACCAGTCTATCGTTACCTCTTTGCATACGATAACTACTACCTTGATTTCTATCTACAGGTCTACTCGGCAGTGCATAAGGCTTAGCTCTTTCTTTAATTCCATGATTCACTACATACTTCGGACCTCCTCTAGTCTTGGCAAACAAATCTGCATCTTCCGCTACTTCACGGGCTGAAAACAACTTCTTACTACTAAGGTTCTGATATAGTTCTCTATTGCAGATATCTAAAAATTGATCCCTTACTATGAAGTCTAACAACTTTTCATAAGTCTTCTCCACCTTACTCAATCTTAGCCAACCATCTAAGTATCTAGAAATTCTAGCTAGGAACATCACAAAAGTCTCATTTTCACGGGGCCTTTCAGTCCTAAACTTCTTCTTATACCCATCATCAGTCAACTCAAACTGCCTTAACAAAGCATCTTTCAGCTTATCATAATCCGTCCTATCTTCTAATGGAAGCCTATCAAATACCTCCCTAGCAGTACCTTTTAACCAAAACGGTAAGTTTAGTGACCACATTTCATGTTCCCAATTCTGAGCAGACGCATAAGTTTCATAAACATTCAAATACGCATCCATAGAATCAATCTTTTCGTCAAATGGAGTCATTTTAACCTTAACCTTACCTACACTCTTCTTACCTAACATATCTAAAATATGAAAAACAAGATCAACAAGGAAAGGTGGCGTTCAATGAACGCAACCCCCATATGACCCAGCAACAAGAACCAATGGCAAGGAGCCCAGGCGGACCCCAAACACAAAAAGGACAGGGCAACGACACGTTAATCATTAAATGATAAATAATTTGTAACTGATTAGGAATTCAAAGAAAATAATAATAGGCCCACAAAGGGGAAGGGGACAGGAGACCGGGGGAAGGGGGGGGGGGGTTAATCAAAGAAATAAACACTAGAGGCAATGGGGAAGATACTTACCGTAGACGAGAAAACAACAAGGGACACAAGCAAAAGTGTCACCAAAACAGTATGAAAAACATAGACATACATCTGAGGAACACAGTGGGGCGCCGCCTTGGAACGGTCAGCAGCATAATAATGACTGCTGGGGAGTTTAAACCGGTTAATGGTGCACCAAACCTCGCTCTTAGCCCCACCATGTTCCTATAAACGAGACAGTGTAAATAAAATGAATCCCCGCCAAGTGAAATTCTAACAGTTGTCATGGTTACAAAAGGTTAAATAAGTAAAACACTAAAATGATCATGTAGAAACATATAAAAGTAAACCCAATGACCATAACAAAAGTACTCAATGTCCTAAAGGAAGACAGAGCAACAAGAAAATCACCTACAAGGGCCCGACGAAGCAAGGCAGAAGACGAACATTAAGACAATTCAGTCCCAAAGGGCTTTACGAACTATCCATCATAGAGTCTCCCACTTGGTCCGTCAGATGCAATCAAAAGAGGAAAGCGTAGTGTCCAACTGTAAAAGGGTTGAACACTAAACATGCAGTATGTCTTAAAATAGTAGGGTCATAACCTCTTTTAATAAAACGTTTAATAATTTTAGTAAAAACAGCAGAAAAATTACCATGACCCAAAATCTTACGAAGTTTGTAAACCACATCGCCATAACTCTATCTTCATCTTATATTCTGTATCTAACTTCCTAGCTTCTGCTTCCTCCTTCTCTCTTTCTAACTGACGAGCATAATCTAACTTCTCCCTTGCAACCCTAGCCTCATTACTTAACTTCTCTTTTTCCATTCCTATCTCTATTTCTAACTTCTCCTTTGCAACCCTAGCCTCATTACTTAACTTCTCTTTTTCCATTTCTATCTCTATTTCTAACTTCTCCTTAGAAATCTGGAACTCATAATCTAACTTCTCTTTTGCTAACCTAGCTTCTAATTCTAACCTATCCTTCTCAGCTTCTAAACGTTCCTTCTCAGCTTCTAACCTACTATGTCTTTCTTCACGCTCCCTTGCTTGCTCCTCTTTAACAAAGTTTCTCAAAGCCTCATCTGTATACCCTAACTCCTGACCTACCTTCATCAACTCATTTACACTAGTCATCTTGAACTTATTATGTATATTTCCTACACTGTAACACTACTACAACAACAACTTAGGATACAAGTAAAATCTTACCGTGAGGTAGAACAATGATATCAAAGTATCATTAAAGGGTAACACTACAACCCTTAAACACAAAACGCTATATTCACTAAGTGCAATCTCGGTGCACTATAACACTACACCTCAGTGTAACACCATATAATTAAACGCATTTATCACTCTAGCGCTATAATCAAAATGTACCGTCACTGTACACAGTACTAAAATAAACAATGTATCATATATTCTAAACACTATACCTCACCACTACAAACACTAAGTTAAACTCATCCAAGTATCTCACTAAGGTTGTATAATAATAATCTTAAGTGTACAGTAGACAGTAGGCAATAATTAAAACTGTTCAAACTACTTTAAACTTCAAAGTCCAAACTACGACCCAAAACTCAATGTCGCGTAGCACTTACCCCACAGTGCAAAAATATAAAAGGTATACGGCCAGTTTCAATATACTACAGACACAAAGTAAACACAAAGTAAAATTGTAAATGACACAATAAATTTAATGTTCACCTAGATAACAGACACAGTTTCTTTATCTAGAAAAAGTACACAAGGCGGGTAGTACCTTAAATTGCAGAGTGTATGTGTGTATATGTGTACTTCCGGTGTTTTACCGAAAGGTCACTTTCAGATTACAAAACTGGTGGTCTCATCATAAAGTGACACCTAAAAGGAGGAAAATGGAACGAACTCACCCTAAACGTCCAAACGTCCACTGTCGGGTCTGTGTGGCTGTTATAACCTCTCAGCTGGATAGCTGTCACGCACACAAAGTCCGTTTCATTTGTCACGGTATCAATCTGAAAATGTTAAGAATTTATAATCACACTAAATATAAAAAAAATAATTAAAAGTGATACAAAATTTAACTACCTTTAAGTAAACTAAATTTAACTTTTAATTGTAAATAAAACTTTTTACTTAAAATAAAAACCAAAGTTTCTAGTGTTAGCTATATAACCTAGCTGCAGTAAAATGAGTGTGTTTGTTTCAAATAACAACTATAGTCAACCGGTATCCAATCACGTCGAGGTCACCAAAATGTCACAATAGGGACTACGATGGGATACCAGGCCGACTACAATTGCTATGTAAACAACCAACAACTCAGAACAGAAAAATATATACAAATTTATTTACAGAAATGAATATTTATAAATGAAAAATGATTATATATGATAAACTACTATGATAAGTCACTGCACAAACAAACACTATCAACGTATCTCAGTCTATTTCTCTCGTAAAGTTTCTGCCATGATGTATCAATAAAGTGGTGGCGTTGTTGAACAAAATTCGTCACAATGGCGGGCGTCTTGTATAAAATCTTATCAAGCGTAACTGTACTTCCTACAGTGTTGGCACAGTTGATAGGATCCTGAACAAGGGCATGCGTCACCCTTTAGCCATGGACATACGTGTGGAGGGCCCGTGTCATCTTCGGGTGTGTCCTCAAATAAGAAGCTACAAAGTATAAAACATGGTAAGTTCCATGATAATCAAACATAAGGGTATAATAAAGTCCCTTGAAAAGACTCGACCTTTGTCGGTTTCCAATAAAATAACGTGCTTCTTTGAATAAACAAAATGTCCACTATAGTACACCATACATTCCGTGGAACAAAAATTCAATCACATCCGCATAATACTGCGTTGCAAATATATTCAAATATACGCCACATATAATACCACCAATAAATAAACGTCTTCCAAAATCATGCCACTGAAAGATCCTTCTCTAGAGATACGTTAGTTTTGATACGTTGTATTTACTTATAACAAAAACTGATGATAAATGAAATGAAGTAAGATTATAACGAAAATTAAATTGATTGAAACAAATCATTACGATACTGCAGCATTTTACATAAAGTTACACAAATACGGTAGAACCATAATAAATTATTTATGAATAGATATATATATCTATAAAATATTCATGGCTCCTATCCAATTACAATATAATTAAAACTTCAATTAACATACATCAATTAACATGTCTCGGTATAAATTTGCAATAGTGAAACACTAGAATAAAAAGAGTTTTTAAAATTTACTCTGCAAAAATTTAGAAAATTTAGAAAACAATAAATTACTGCCAAATAACTAAACCTGAATCAAATAAACTATAATTCTAATAGAAAATAGTATTTACGAAATAGCAAAAATTTATGAACAAAATCACTAGGAAATTAAATTTACCTTGTACAAGCTGTAATTTTATGACAAAAATAATTTGTCTGTCACCGTCATAGTGACCTGTATAACGTCCAGTGCATTGCAATATGTCACTTAAAATTTAGTCAATATATAGCAAACTACTGAGTACTGAGCGGGAAAACAAATCGTGCAAAACATGAAAAATCGATTTGCACGAAATAAAGCTGGGACGGCGGGAAAAATAGTTATGTAAAATAAAGGCCCGTCCTTCAAATACAGACATAATACAAATAACTGGTTCATAAAACAAAAATGTAACTTTCTTATTACTGAAAGGATTTTTGTGAAATAAACGGCAAAATGTTAAAATTGAGACATGGAAATTTATGCAAACCATAAAAATACTCTAAATAATAATTTCACCCGAAAACTCTAAATTAAACAAAAAGATGATGCAATCTCACATCAATGAATATAGAGTAAAAATGAGGTTCGGCGTGAAAATATAATGCAATATTTTACAAACGTACTTTCACTTTGTGACACGCACTAAGAACTTTAGACAAATCCCATTCGGGCAACAACTTTGTGAGAGGAGGTCTTAAATTGAATACTTTTAATAATCTGATAACACACGGATGTTGGCCAATAGGAGTGTTATCTACTGAAGGTAAAACTGCAGATAAAATAGAGCGGTAACCCACTGTAAACCTTTATTGTACAGATCTGATAAAAACTCAGCACAAGTATTTAAGGATGCTGTGAAGGAATCAATATTCTTTTGACGACACCATATCATAAATTGTCTTAATTTACTGGAGTAACCTTTCTAAGTACCAGTTCTCCAGCTGGCTGTAAGAAGTTTGAAAAAACCTTTTTCTCTAAACTGTCTGTCGATAGCAACCATGGATTTGGATGACATATGTGAAATTTTGGTTGTTGTAACAGATTTGTAACCAATAGAAGACATAACGGTTGAGCTACCGACAGATTCAATAAATCTGGAAACTATGGTCGTCGTGGCCAGAATGGAGTTATTAGAATCAGTTTGCAATGAAATTGTTTTATATGATGAAGAACTCTGGAAATGAGACAAATATAGTTCAGCGTTCAAAAAGACATCAACGGGCGCTTGCATATATTTCAAATGACCAACCGACGTTTGCACATTTTACATGATCAAATGACGTTTGCAAAATCGACAATAAGTGGAAAACATGGGTTTATATCGAATGTAACCTTGCTATTTGCTAATGAAATTATAAATAAGTTAGGTACGAATATTACTTGTAAAAAGACATATCTTCTATTATTTTCCTCTACATGGGTTTCCAGTGAACAAAAAAGATTAGAAAAGGTT